CACACATAGAAAAATGCAAACTGGGTCTGCCATGGAATTGTTGAAGTAAAACCAAGAACTTAGTCTTCTTTGTGTTTAGTCAGTAGTAACACGTTTCAAGCAGTGAGATTGAGGACTGAGCAGAAGACATTTTGGCTTTGCATAAAAAGCTGGGTTCTAAAGCCATAAAGAAATTACTTTTACATATGCTAATACTAGCGATATCAGACAAAGAAAACACAATCACTACAGAAGGAGAGCTGTATGGCAGTCAGAAAGGAGGAATCTGGTAACACTTGTTTTGACTGACAAATTTTATTGAAAGGCGCAAGCTTTGGTAAGCTGTAGCTCACTTCATCAGATGCATGAAGTGGTTAAACTGATGTGGGATTTGAACTTCAATTTGAACAAAACGAATTCTCATTTCCATCCACTCTCCTACAACTCAGTTTATCACCTTGTGGCATGTCTCTCCTTCTATGAAAGTTTTGTGAACATCAAATAAACACTTATCACCTTAATTCAAACAATAAATGTGGAGAAATGAAGCAAAATAATACTGAATTTAAAGTGTTTTATGTAAAAAATATTACTACTGATCACTGCATTTTCACTGGAGTTTTTTCAAGTTTTGGAAATGGAAGCTTTTCTTCAATTTTCTAATTGTGTCAAAGTACAAGGGAGCTTTTTCACTGGTTCACTGGAAAGTTCACAACATGCTTTCTATGATAGTGAATAGTGTAAAGACTTTCTCCACATTGAATTAAAAATACATACTGTTGTACTATAATTTTATGTGGAACTAGAAAATGCCAATTGTAATATTTGCTTTAGCCATTCAGTTAAGATTTTTTCAGTTCAAGTTCTCTGTCTAGCTAGGCCCAATTTTGACAATATACCAAAGTTATCTTAATTTCAAAATGTTATTAATAGAGCACACTGATAGCAGCTCCATAATGATGTTTTAAATTGTATTTGTTTACCTTATATAGTCAGTTATCTAATTATTTTTTAAAAAAAGAAAAGATGGATTTTCAGACTTGTTCAAGAAAAAAAATGCCAACATTGATAAGAGGCTGCCATAAAGTAAATGTTGTGGGCATGGAGATACTTGGAAGGTATATAGGAAAGTCAAAGGGTATAATAGCACACCATTGTTGTACCAGAACACTTTATCAGAAAGAAAAAAATTATGATAAAAAACTACTAACCCTCCACCACCAAAAGCCAAGGCATCCATGTCTCCTTTAAGAAAAAACATATTGTCTCCAGTCCACTTGAAGATCTAATGGTTATGAAAATAAATGAAGATGCACAAAACACAGATTTAAGGAAACTACTGTTAAAAGAACAGCAACAAACACCATAAAACATCGTCAGTTTCTGCTTCAGAAAAATCCAGAGACTGTATTTTATTGTTAAAATGCTACAATAAAGAATACAACAAAGAATGTCTTTGTTCACTGTGTAACCAACTTCTTTCAATATATTGAAATTCCATCTACCAACTGAATTTCAAACGCTGTCCCCTAAATTCAGTGAATCATGAAGTAATCCTAATCCCCATTTATTAATTTATACAAACTCTGATGTTCTGATAAGAGCAAGATTTATTAGATTGAACATTTATAGAAAAGAAACCACTAATTGTTTTGTAGTGTTCATTCTCATTCTTTATTAGTTTTGTGGGTCTGTATGTATATGTGTTTGTTTAAAATAACTTTACTGTTGGAACATATAATTCATGGGAAAACATAGGGTGCCTTTCATCGCAACTGCAATCTAAGTTCTACACAAATGACAGGCCTCACTATCCAAAATGTAACTATTTATTTTTAACTGGAATCTAAGTAATTTCATAGCAATATAAAATTATTAGACTCATAACTATTTTGTAATCTTACATAAATTATCTAAATAACTTAGATAATTATTTTTTTTCTAAGTCCTTACCTCAAATTCTGGGCAGAAAGTAAACAGAAAGGTTTCTCCTGTGCCATAAAACCCATCACTCACTTTAAAGGGTTCAGAAGCTAGAGCTCCAAAAATCTAGAAAAAAGAATAAAAATGGTCCAGAAAGTGTGACATTTCCATTGCTTTTGTGCATAATATATAGGAAGCCCACCCCATGAACGTGATTACATTAATTGGAGTTATCAGGATTTTATTTCTATTCAATCCATTAAGATCAATGCACAATCAAGCTAAACAAAGTCATAACTTCAGCAAGGTATTTTAATGGAGCATTTTTTTAGATGAAAAAAATCTAATAAAATATAAAAGGACTTTCAGATGGCAATTTATCCAGCAAACAGAGAGCAGAAAACACCTTCAAGAAGAGGCAATTCTTAGCACAAACACTTGGACAAACTGTGGCTGGCTGCCATCTCTAATGCTTGTCCTGTTGTTGCCAAATCAGCTTTTCCAATGTTCTTGGGCTCAGAGTGCCAGGTTGGGGAAGGCAGGGCCAGTCCATTTAGATAGCAAGTCACCAGAACAGGATCAGCACAGCCTGTCTCCACTTGTTTCCTCAACAAGTTATCAGATAGGGATCAGCACAGTTTGTCTAGCTGATTCAGTAGGCCCTCTACTTATACAAACAAAGGAGTTGGAAAAATAGGAATGCAGGAATATTGCCAGCTATTGTTTGATTCATGTGAACAATGACTCTCCATTCCTTCCTGCTCCCCCTTTCTGTTCAATGCAATGGAAACCATACACTTTCCTTTTGCTGTTGGGGCTTAGGCACAAATGTGTAATAAAAGTAAAGCAACATATAACACAGAGTGATTCTAAAAGGGTGGAATCAGTGGCATCATCATCATCGACATAAACAACATAATTTTTGTCAGAGAAAAGGGTGAGTAAATGATCTGGATCTTAATATTTGTACTGTATTTCAGACAAGCATTATGAACAAAGATTTTTTTTTTTTTCAAAACAGGGAAGATAACCTGGTGACATCAGTAATCAGGACATATGAAAACAGACTTAAAATACATCAAAATTTGAATTGGAAATTTAAGTATGGGAAATTGAATACTGTTCCTCTTAAATATTAAGCATGTTTACAATGTAATTTTTGTGAAGGTAACTCTGAAATAAAGAATGGTCAAAAAGGAGAAGCATGATAAAGAACAGCACAGCATTTAAAGGAAGTTTTGCAATGCATCCCCCAAATCTACTGCTCCAAGTATTAGGGAGCTGCATCACCTTAAAAACCTGGCACTTTCATGCAACAGAAACATATTATCTGTACATAGTTTTGTTAAGATATGATAGACTGACAATTTGAGCACTAGGTTTGGAGAGACACTGAATTGTTTCCCCAGCCCTCATAAAGAAGCAGCAAATAGAAAATTATTCACTGTGTAGGTTCTTATGTTCTCATATGTACAGATTGTAAGAGACACTATACCTATAAATGACAATGGAAAATATCAAATGGTATATGGTTTAACTATGGAACTGACTGAGCTCCTTCGCAATGATAGCCTTGGCCTTGTGTTGGCCAAGGAACTAGCCTATCACAATTAATTCCCGATTGTGAAGATAAATCATGAAAAATGAAGCAGTCCTTCTATTATTTAGCAAGTGAACCACATAAATTCCTACTGGTGCCATCTACGTAACTACCTACCTATTCTCGGAATGGAATGAGATTTTCAGGAAGCTCAACGGATGGGATAAAGTACATTATGTTTCAGAGAAATTGCTGCAGGGATTTTAAAGTTACATCTCTTTTTTAAACCATAAAAACCACAAGTTCAGAGCACTGAACTGGCATTCCCAGCATTCCTTTGCTAATATAACTGAATTAAGCTCAGCTTCACCTTCTTCACCCTTGATTTCTACAAAAATGCCCAATATACTAACAAGCATATACAAAAGCTTTACACCTATTAGTAGGACCAAAATGGGAAGTGGTATATTATTCACAATTTTAAGTTTTAAAAAACCTTAGAAATTAAGATTGGTGGGATGACTATATTTTTACCTCATTCATATAGTCATATGAATATGAAAAATGAGAGTTTTTAAATAAGTATAATATATATGATGTGAAATGGTGGAAAGCATTAAAAAAAGAGGAACAGAAAGTTGGATAAATGAAGAAACCAAGGAGAGTAGGCCAAGCAAGAATGTTAATAAGGATGAACTTTAAAAAATAAATCAGTGGGCTGTTCTTAAAAGAATCACTTTCAAAGAGTTTGCGTGATAGTGTGATATGATTATAGTGACAATAAACAGAATCTGACAGAGACACGTGGCCATCAAGTTCAATGCTGTGCTTATTGCAGGATTCCAAACTGAAATGTCACTGACAGATGATTGCACAGTATTTTGTTTAAATAGATCCAATGACTGTGTGCGTGCGTGTGCACGCATAGCTTCAAATCAGTCTTCACTCTTGGCCACTGCTTGGACAAGTCCCTGAAGATTTCTTGGCAAGAATTCAGAAGTGGGTTGCCACTGCCTTCTTCGTAGGATTGAGAGGGAGTGACTGGTTCAAAATAATCTAGCTGGCTTGGTGCCTAAGGCAGGACTAGAACTCAGTTTCCTGATTTCTAGCCTGGCGACTTTAACCATTACATCATTATAGCTCTCACATCCAACAAACAGAAGCTGCTTAATTGATTCACTGTTGAACTGCTCTTAATTTCTAACATTCAGCCACAATTTGCCTTCTTGTAACTTCTGCCCTGTGCTCTGGGCTGATAGGGAACAGGTTGTGGCTTTCTCCTATGTAGCATCCTTTCAGGCATGAATGTGTTATCATATCCTCTCTCAATATACATCAATCTTCCTCATCGTTCCCTACAATCTTGCCAAGCATCCCCAAGACTGCCACAGAGATGATAAATCATAAGGATCATTCTCATTTGAGAAAAGATCTGAAAACCAATATTTTTCCACAAGCATTTCTCTCAAGCTAGCCCCCCCCCCTTTTAAGGCATACATCAGTGGCCAGCAAACTAAGCTCCCAAACTTAGATTCTGAGTAGGTGATGAGAAACAAAGACGCTTCTGCTTGTGTGAGTTAAATTACCTTAAACTGTCTCATTCTACACTGAGTTTAGGCTTTCCATCAAGTCAGAGTGCAGCTTTAGTATATACACAACAATGTTATGAAGTCTAGCTGTAGCAGCAAAACAGCATAAATAATTCTCTAAATGGTTATATGTTTGTACAGTTCTATTGTCTAATTTGTCCCATCCTGAAAACTTGATTTACATCAACCCACTCAGCTGTCTCTATTAAAGATTACTATGGAAGTGTAAAATATATCCAGGCATGCAAAAAATCACTCTATGTACTTATTGCAAAGAGAACAAATCCCTTGGTACCTTTGTAGATTAATACATTTGTGGTAAAAGATGCATCTGATGTGATTTTTTTCCTATAAAAATAGTAACACCTCCATATTTTTGCAACCAAGAATCCAGTTCAATCTACTGCAGTAAGTCACTTCCTCTTTAAAGTGCCAACTTGAAGGGCAGTGGAAAACCCCTTCTGTGTTATTGCCAAGGACACTGCATGGCAACAGCCACAGAACTGCATCAGGACTTGAGCTCAGCTTGAGGGAGGGAGTAATCATTTCAAATGCTATAGGTGTTTTGCATTACTATGT